GCGACTCGAAAGAAAGGAGGGATGGTCGGCAAATCTGGTGATTTCACTTCGGACCTAACTGTGTGTTTCGTAGGAGCGCTTCGACAGTCACTCGCATTTGGGGGAGTGACGCGCCGACTCTAGACACAAGGGCGGTTTTAAAAATACAGGGGACAAAGAAATTTCACATGCAAATAAAAAGGGGCCGTACGTTGAAGAGGTACGTAGGGAAGGACTTCAACATGTTTTCAGGGTCATGTATAGACATTCCTATTTCCGCTCGAGATTATTCGCACAATACTCACTATTGCGTTTCGTGGACGGGCTCAGACCACCATGTGAATTAATTCTTTGTTTTAAACTCCTTGAGCTCCTTGATAAAGCCATTCATTTGGTTGCATAGTCGTTTCAAAGCTTTCATTCAGGTCACACCCCTCTGTATAGTCCCTCATCAGTATCAGTAGCTCTTTGGTTCGTGCTCCATGATGACACTTCCATCTAGTCTCACATTCATTCCATTATTAAACAAATTCACCGTTTTCCGAATATTCCAATCATTTCAACCAAACTATTAGGTCGCACCCTCCGTCAAGTGTTTTGCATTAACAAATACTCTGAGCATCCACCAACAATTTTCCTGCCCGCGCACATTGCGAAGAAGCAAAAGCCAAAGAGCGTACCCTCCCGTACCAGCCATGGGCCAACATCCTCCCATTTGCGTCTACTTGGCACTTACGACCTCGTCCTCCATCCAATCCACCACGCTCACAGTGAGGGGCAGCTGGGTGCCGCTCGCGACGCCCCGGCCCAGGCGAATCCTCCATTTGATCTCGTAGGACTTGCCGAGGACGATACCATCCGCAGGGAGGGCCCACGCGAGCTCGTCGTCCGTCTTGACGTAGCGAAGCCTGTGGCGCAAGGCGAGAGAGGGAAGAAGAATGCATGAGAAACAGAAATGACACAAGGGAGCCGGAGAAGGCACGGGAAGAGGGGACGTTGACGATGGAGACTGAGAATCGGCATGACAGAATAGGGCGTAACAGAAGACGAAACGTCAGTTATAACGCGAAATCAAGCGACGGTGTGTGGCAAAAGGGCCTATCGAATGCCTTCATAGCTGTAAAGAGGCATGTCGTACACGTGCCGGATTGGGATACTCAATTCTCATGACTATGGGCGATTCGTTGCGGCCGGTAGATCCAAAGCGACGCAGGACGGGGACAACGTGGTCATCCTCCAACGCCACCAGGGCCGTCATTACCTAGACGTGCGGAAGAATCGGTACGACGGGGACCTGGGCGTGGTGCCCCTGGCTTTCCAGAAGCAGACGGGCACGTTGGTGGAGGTGGAGGACAACGGGTTGGGCTTGAGTTTGGAGCGGGAAAGCATGTACGGCGGGGGGAGTTGAAAGCCGATGGGTGGGGGCGGGGGGGGGATCGGCCGGTGGTTCGGGAGAAAACGTCGCATTAATTGGCGTCCATGGATGGTGGGGGGCGGGGGGGAGGTTGTACGCTAGGACGGTGGAAGGAGTAAGGGGGGGGGGGAAGGAAACTAAGGGGAGGGCTCACAGTAAAGGAGTGGCAGAATCACAGAGAGGATAAAAAGCAAGATAATCGTACAGATACGGTCCCCGTCGTGGCGTATTCCCTGACTGGCCGATCTCCAGTAGCCGCCCTCTCACAGATACTTGTATATTGGGGGGAAAACCCTTCTATGGTGAGGGGCAGCAACAGACACCATTTCACTCCATACATGCAACCTCACCCTCATTTAGCTTTTTCTTTCCTTTTCCGTAGTACAAATGTATGCTGCACACGCTGCACACGCTGCCCTATTGCTTTTAATCGGGATAGCCAGGAGGATTATTGGGAGACCGACAGAGAGACAGGTAGATAGACAGGCACGTGCGAAAAAGAACACGCAAAAGTATTAAAAGTCGTAAAACAACTCATATGACGGAGCAAGAGTCTCTGACGTGCTTGACATTAGTGTTCCATCCCAATTCTCAAACAACTGGTATTTCCTTCCGCACGATCCGTCCTCGGCAGCTTATCACCGGGCAGTAGACCGTCATCCATTCTCTCGTCGTCGGCATCGGTAAATATGACGGCCAATACTTGTTCTGAGCATGCATAATAACGGACGATTACTTTATTGCATGCTTCAATGTCATTGACCTCCTCCATTGAGAGTCCATGCCTTGTGAAGTCCGAACGTCAGCCCGGGAAACGCTCCCGAGTTCAAAAATCAGAGCCATTCCTGGTGCGGGTGGTAATCTCCGTCTCCCCGCATTCTTTCGCAACCCATTGAGGCTTCAGACTCAATTTCGCGATGCAAAGTTTGGTGGCAAGGTCTCCGCGTCAATTGTCGTTCTTGTAATCAAGAGATATGCTCAACTTGTAGATTTCTTACTCCTCTAATGCCCATGCATAAGTCAATCAAGTTTTTTAATTAGTTCCGGGCAGCGATCACCTTTTCCACCGACAGCCGCTTCGGGTCAACAATCCGGCATTTTCCTTCTCAGTCAGTCGTTGCCCAGGGTCAGCGGGACGATCGATGATTGCCATTCCATGTCCATTTCATGCATTAGAGCCGATTCTAGGTGTCCTTTTCTACTCTGTTGTCGACACAGGTCACCGTGACGGGTGGTAATCGCCTAGGCCGGAAGCCAGCCGTTACAAGATGGCAAGCCATTTTCCTACCCAAGACATCCCATTACACGTACCACTCGTTTTGTAGAGCAAGAACTCGCATCCTACATTCTATTAAAAGTCATGCTGGTCTCCTCTTTTTTTTCCAATGAGAACTCCTAGCAACTGTTTTAATAGCTCACGACTAGATTCGATAGAAAAACGTTTCTCCCGAAAGAAAACGCTACCCTCTTTTTGATTCATGTTGGTGGCACCTGGGCCATTTCGTCCGACACCCCTTCCCAGGGAGTTCTTGAGAAAGTGTTTCCGTGATGAGAGGTATAATTTGCTTTGCACTTTTTGGTCGTGCTTTTTGATGGCGAGAAACATGTGGTGTCAACTGCGCGGCGTGTTCCGTTTCAAATGGGAACAAGGTTAATCGACCTTGAAATCCCTTCCAGGCCTCTGCTTTTAGTGGTTGATCGTTGTCAGCGGGCACATACATATTTCATGCTTAATCAGCCATACTGATCTTGTCATGACAGCCTCGTTAGCCTTTCGGATTTCATCCTTTCCCCGTCAAGCATAATCCCCGCAAGCTCACATTTCTAACGGAAGCCTTCCGTCCTTTCCTGCTCCTTTTGACAAACTTGACAGCCATCACCTTGTCCTCAAAAGATAACTATGTCAAACCACTTCTCCTATAAATTTGGACAAGGTCTGGTCCTTGGCATGCTGTTCCTGTTGCCAACCCATCACCGTGGCGGTGCCCCAGGTGACCCCGACGCCGGAAGGGGAAGACGTCGTCGTTCCTATCACTGCACAGGGTACGAAGACGACAGTGGGTGACATGTAGTGCGCCAACGTTACCAGCCCCGGCATTACGGTACGCAGGCAGCTGAAAGGAGGGTTCTCGGAGGGAGGGATGAGGTGGAAGATATGACGCGAAAGTACACCACGGACTGGGCTGGCGCGCTGGGACGACGTCGGGTGAGCGAGCAGGACATGGGCGGTTTCTTGGCATGTGCAAACGGGGTGCTGCAGGGAGGGGGGAAGGGAGGGGAGGAAGGGAAGCAGGGAGGGAAAAGGAAGGAGATAGGAGGCGAGGGAGATGATAGAATGCGGAATGCAGGGGAGAAAGCTGGTCAGATAAGGAAAGGGAGAAGCAGCAGCAGTACCAGTACCAGTGCCGGCATCGACACGGGTGGAAAGGGAAAGGGCGGCCGTGGGGCGGGCGGCGGGAAGGGGAAGGACTGTCAACCCCCAGCCGAGACGGGAACGATCCGACGGCAAGAACGGCCCCGAGTGAAGCACTCGAGTGAAGCGCGAGCTCCCCCAAGCCAGCTACTGCCGTGGGCGCGAAAGGTATGGGCACGTCCAAGATGACACGGCAAGCCTCGACCGGTCGTTCGGCGAGTCCGACGGAGGGGGGATGAGGGAATAGGCCCCAGGCAGGGGGTGGAGGGAAGAACAGGTGTATAGCGGGGGACCGGGCCTATGACAATGCAAAGGGCTGTGCGAGAGATATTCAAGGGGATTGGGATGGCAGACAAATGCCCGTCTCCAGCACGCACGAAGAAAAACAAGAGACTTGGCACCAGGGAAGACTTCCTTCCCATCCCCCCCGAAGTTTGAGGGAGACGAGGGAGAGTCGGTTGCGAAATGCGGTAACTTTCCTTTGGATCCAGCCGTGTACATTGAGGAAGCGACTCCCTGTCACATGTAGCTGGAAGAAGTGATTTGCGGACTTTGGATGCAGGGGAGGTCATAAAATCACACGAAGCTAGACAGGTACCAAAGCTTGAAGAGGCAGAGGAGACGAGGGGAAGCATCGGAATACCTTCAGGATCACGTGTATGCGTTTCGTTTCCCACTCCCTCCTGCTCTCACCACACTCATTGTTGCCTTGCATAGAAAGGCCCAGATCACCATTTGAATTCAATTCTTTGCTTTCAGCTTGTTGATGGAGTTCATCATTCGGATTCACAGTCGTTTCGAGGCTTCCAATCACGAGGCTTCCCATCATGAAGACCAGAGCTACGGATCCCACCCTCCGTACAAACATTTGTCAGTATGCGTGGATATCTTTGCCTCAAGCTTCACGATGATGACCAATTCATCAAGACGTATATTAGATTCATCACTTGCCAAACTCGCATTCTTCTCAAACCGTTCAATCATAGAGACCGAAGCCATGGGTCGCATCTTCCGTACAGTCCCTTAGCTGCATTAACACTTTCAACATTTCAAAAATTCAATGTTCACATCAACTTTGTTTCCCTTCCTCAGGGAAAAGGAGGAAACATGAAACCACAACGTCTCTTCTCGTACCAGCCACGGGCCCACTCCCCTGAACTACATTGTGGTTTGTGTTTGTTGCTTATATCGCGTCTACTTGGCCGTGACGACCAAGTCCTCCATCCAGTCCGCCACACGCACAGTAAGGGGCAGCTCGGTGCCGCTGGCCACGCCCCGGCCCAGGCGGATCCTCCACTTGATCTTGTAGGTCTTTCCGAAGACGATGCCTCCCACAGGAAGGGTCCACGCGAGCTCGTCGTTCGTCTTGACGTAGCGAAGCCTGGATAGAGGGCACGAGAGCAAATGTGAGGGCACGAGAAACAGCAACGCAATGACAAGCAAACAAAAACATGCGGCAGGATGGATGCTTGAAGTTTAGACGTGGACGAGGAAATGAGATCGACAACCCAGCGTTCTAGGGGCATGCCATGCGAAGGGACAATAGAAAACGACGACTCAAGTATCTGATCCTGCCTGGCGCTCAGAGAGAATCAAACAAATCGCGAGACAATAACCGAGACGATACATAAAGCGACGAGATATAATAAATAAGAGACAGGCACAGGGACGGACCGACAAGCACGTACTTGGGCCTCCACGTGTTGGGCCGGAGTTTGCCGCGCTGGAAGCTCAGGGCCTCGTCACCGAGTCGGGCACGCTTGAGCACCTTTGTACTGTGACCCTGAAGAAGCCGTGTCGCGTGTCCTTGGACGGTGGCATTCCCTCCCAGCAGGCACTGTAGGGGAACAAGTGTGGGAATGGAGCCGCGAGGTCCGGTTGTGAGGGAATCATACACAGAGCTATGAACCATTCCTTCCTTCTCATCCCCCCCGCTCAGGTCTTCTTTCGCCTTGCGGCCTTCCTGCGTCTTCCACCCCGTCCTTGATGTTGTTTTCACCCACCGAGACGATCACGTCCTCCACAGGCCGCTCCAAGAACAGCAGGTCCAAGAGGAGGGTGAACCGGCGACCCGGAGCCTGCACCAGGGACTTCAAGTAGGCTTGTGCCAAAAAGGTCGGCGATATGACGGTGCCGAGGGCGAAGGGACTCAGGGAGGTGACGATGCCGCACACCAGCTGCGCGACGGGGTCCACGCTTGTGGTCACGTCCGCCCAGGCAT